AGCCACACAAGTGGGAAAAGCCCTGGGGATCTTTTGAATGGTCATTCCCTGTTGGGAATGGAGAATTCACCAGCACAGCTAAGCCTGCATGGCTAAAGGCATGAACTCACTCCAGCAGGGATAGCTCAGGAGACATGCTGCATCTGATTGCTGTGGGGGAGCAAAGGGGAGGGAGTCTGTGCTGGCAAGAGCTCTGAACCAGCAAAAGAAACACTGATATCTATGCCAAAATCAGGACATAGTGGTTAATGGCTAAACATGACAATAAAGGAGCTTCGACAAAGAGTACTACAGGACACGGCTAATGAACTGCTGCTCTGGTTCTGAGCCACAGACATGGAAGGGTGATGACAGGCACCTATAGCCACTTACAATAATGTTTTCATCCCATGAGGCATTGGGACCCCTAGCTCAGAATTCCAATCTGTTGCAGGGACTGTAGGGCTATGTCTACACAGAAGCATTATTTCAGAATAACTGACATTATTCTGAAATAACCAAGAGCATGTCTAAACTGCAAGCCATTATTTCAAAATAATAGAGAACTGGAGGACTTCTTACTCTGACTCCTGTAACACTCATTTCACAAGGAATAACGGAAGTTGAAGGAAGAGTATTCTTCCTTCAACTTCCTACTGTGTAGGCAGTGCCAAAAGTTGAGTTAAGCTATTTCAACTTCAGCTACACAATTGACATAGCTGAAGTTGCGTAGCTTAATTCAATTTTTGCCCTGATCTGTAGATGTGCCCTAAGATAACTACCCAAAGTGAATCATTCTTTGAGTCAGTGCAACCTCTGGAAATGTGGATGTGCTCTCGTGACTACATTCTCCTCGTTAAAATATGCAAAATTGCATTTGTTAAATCGGGTGTTCAAAGTTAAATTAAATAAAATGGACCTAATTTTGTAGTGTAGACATATCCTAAGGTGCCCAACAAAGCATCTGCACGTGCTCCAGCTCTTAATGTTGCAATGTTGATGTAGTCATGTTGGTCCCAGGATATTACGAGACATCGGTGAGATACCTTTCATTACATCAACTTCTGTTGCGGAAAGAGACAAGTTTTTGAGCTACACAGAGCATTTCTTCAAGTCTGGGAAAGGTACTCAAGAGAGTCACAGCTAAATATAATAGAGATGTAGTCGTGTTAGTCTGGTCTATACCAAAGTTATATATATGGTCGTGCCAATTTTCTTCCACAATTTGATCTGTGGAAGTGGGTCTGGCCCACGAAAGCTCATTACATAATAAACCACCTTGTTAGTCTTTAAAGTGCTGCATAGTCCTGTCTTTTGTTTCAGCTAATATAAGATTATTTAGTATAAGTAACCAAAATATTTTAAGGAATCATTCACAGTAGTGGCCCATTAACACTCCTCCAGGTCAAAAAACAAGCAGGGTGTGTGTTATGACAAGTCAGATATGGAGTAGAGTGGCTGTTGTGAAAAGTGTTCACCCATGAACAATATGGAATTTTTGTGGATTCATTCAAGAACACAGAAACTATCTAATTTCACCCACATAGTTATTGCTAAGGCATTCAGTGCACTAGTAGAGGTACATCACATGCTGTGATAGGCATAAGTAAGACCTATATATCTTGAAAAATGCACTGTGGAAGATACTGATTATTGTAGTGGTAGTGAAATGTCTTCAGGCTTTGCATATGTTTTTATGGTAGGGTCTGTTGTGGTTTTGAGTTGGCGGGTGGTGGTCTGTGAAAAGCCTCCTAGAAAGGTCAGAAGAGCGCACAAAATCTACTAGCCTCGGTCACCCTAAGATCTGGTGTGCTAGGGGAATGTGGGAAGGGTCTTTCTCCTTCAAGTCAGGGGCTTCTCATTTTGCTTCTCACTTATGTGTGGCCCCAACTGTTTTTCCTTTGGGTCAGCAGCCCCCAACCCAAAAAAGGTTACCCCACCCCAGGTTATTGGTTAATCTTATCAACCACAAGCACTCTCCCCCTTGCTGCCTCTCTATCATAGGCTGCAAGGGGAGAAGCAGGGACCAGTGCCCATAAGGAGCTATATTTAAACACAGTCTGACAGAAAGGCAGCAGCACAGAGGGTGAGGGGAACAGGCTGGAGAAGCTATGAGTGTGGAACCAGCTTTTGGCTCTCCACGTATGCTGGCTCTGCGGACCCACCAGTCCCCTACCCTTGCTTCCTCCTACAGAGACAGCAACGGGGGGCAGGCGGGAGCAAGTGCTGGGAGGAGCTGGCTTAAAAGTTCCCCCCAGCACCAGTACCAGAACCACCTCTGCAATGACGCCTGCCTCCGCAGGGCAGAACGGGGGAGGATGCCCTGAAGCAGCATCCCACAAAGTAGCCTCTGTCGGCAGGAAGCTCAGATCCCCTGCAGACCGGGGCTGTTGCTGGAGACCAGTCTATGTCTACAAGGAACTCAGAACCCCATGGACAGCTGCTAGTGCCACCCCACACTGATGCTTCTGTATCAGATGCAGCAGCATGGAGTGTCAGGCACAGGAAGCTGAGGAGGATGCCCTGAAGCAGCATCCCACAAAGTAGCCTCTGTCGGCAGGAAGCTCAGATCCCCTGCAGACCGGGGCTGTTGCTGGAGACCAGTCTATGTCTACAAGGAACTCAGAACCCCATGGACAGCTGCTAGTGCCACCCCACACTGATGCTTCTGTATCAGATGCAGCAGCATGGAGTGTCAGGCACAGGAAGCTGATACAGAGGCAGCAGCACAGGTTAACAGGGGGTTCTTCATTAGTGGGAACAGCAGCACACTGCTCTGCTTGGCTGCAAAGAGCGAAATGGAGCCAATGGCAGCCACAAGTCTCTATGGCCACGGCGCCAGTAAATAAACAAACCAGGACAGCCAGTTAATGTGTTACTCAAAGTGATTTCACTGAATGCTTTCAGAAACAATGATTTAGCCCATCCCTGAAAGGTGTCTATTTAACCTGCTCTTAAATATCTCTAGAGATGGCGATTCCACCACCTCTCTATGCAATTTATTCCAGTGTTTCACCACCTGGACAGTTCGGAAGTTTTTCCTGATATCCAACCTAAACCTCCCATGCTGCAGTTTAAGCCCTCTGCTTCTTGTCCTATTATCAGAGGCCAAGAACAATTTCCCCCCTCCTCCCTGTGACACCCTTTTAGATACCTAAAACCACTATGCTGTCTTCTCTCAAGCTTCTCTTTTCAAAACCAAAAAAGACCAGTTCTTTCAGTCTTCCCTCATAGCTCATGTTCTCCAGACCTTTCATCATTTTTGTTGCTCTTCTCTGGACCTTCTTTAATTTTTCCACATCTTTCTTGAAACGTGGTACCCAGAACTGGACACAGTACTCTAACGGAGGCCTAATCCGCGCAGAGTAGAGCGGAAGAATGACTTCTCATGTCTTGCTCACAACACTCCTGTTAAAGCAGCCCAGAATCATGTTGGCTCATGTTTAACTTGTGGTCCACTATGACCCCTAGATTCCTTTCTGCAGTGCTCCTTCCTAGACAGTCGCTTCCCATTCTGTATGTGTGAACCAGATTGTTCTTTACTAAGAGGAGTACTTTGCATTTGTCCTTACTAAATTTCATCTTTTTTACCCCAGACCATTTCTTTAGTTGTGTAACTGTTAAGATTTCATGAGGTTACATAACTATTCAATTACCCTATATCTAACATCCCTAGAAGGAACTGCAGCAGAAAGCAGGCAGCCTGCAGTGGCTTACCAGGAATCACAGTAACATTTTCGAACATTGAAAATGTTCATGAGAGAAAAGGTCTCATGCTTTACAGCCAGTCCCTGAGTTACGAACACATCAATTTATGACCGTTCGTATTTACAACCAACCTCCTATACAGCCAGTCCCCGAGTTACGAATGAAATCCACACTTACGAACAGTGCAGCCATATGTAAGTAAATGTAATCTGACTTAAGAACAGATAGAGTTACGACCTAGTGTTTGTTTCGTAACTCGATCGTAAGTTGGGGACTGGCTGCAAGATACAGGAGTTTTCCAGGTATCCTACTGCTAACTTGTAATTCCACTAGCACCACACTATAAGGATGTTAGCATACAGACATTGAAATGATTAAAAGTTTAACAAATAAGATGGGCTTATCAGTAATTCCAAATGACTACATGCAACCCCCTCCTGCCACCTCTCCATCAGAGGCAGCAAGAGGTGGGAGATGTAAGCTAGTGCCCACAGGGAACCGGCTTTTAAGCAGTTTCCCTGCACGTGCTGGTTCTCATGGAGCTGCCATCTCTTCCCCCTCGCCGCTGCTTCCCACAGAGGAAGCAGTGTGGGAGGCAGGTGGGAGCCATTGCTCAGTGGGAGCTAGCTTAAAAGCCAGCTCCCGATGAGAATCAGATCCTGTGGAACCGCTTGTCCCCCAACATTTGTGCTGCTGCCTGTGATAGAAAGGCAGCAATGCAGAGGGCGTGGGGGCAGATGAGAGCTGGGACATGCAGGAAGCCACCTTTCTAGATGGTTCCCCACGCATATTTGTTCCCGTGGAGTCACCTGCCCTCCCCCTATGCTGCTGCCTCTCTATCAGAGAGGGGAGGGGCAGGTAGGAGCTGATATGCATGGAAGCCAGCTAGTGGCAGAAGGAGGCAGAAGCTGGTACATGGGGCTTAAAAACTGACTCCCCACAACCACCAGCTCCACAGTGCTGCCACCCCACTCATGCTCCTCTGGACCCCACTCTAGACTTGCCATGGACACAGTCTGCTGCCATGGAGAGGAGTCTGGCCACAGTGGGCCTGGGCTTGCCACAGATGGGGCCCCCACAGACAGGGATTGCTGCTGCCCCACACTGCGGTCTTTGTATCACAGGAAGCAGCCTGGGAGTCGGAAGTACAATGGCTGCCAGCACTGCCCTCGGGGATTATTTTAGTATCCGTGTAACAGTTACAAATTATCTAACATTCCTACTATATAATTAATTAGCTAGGATTACAACGTGATACAACGCATAGATTCTGAAACGCATAAGGCTACAAAGCAAGGTCTTGAAATACTTACAGTTCCCACTCGGTTAATGGCACATGTAAAACAGTGGTTAGCAATAGCTGCATTCCTAGCTTCAATTGGCCACAGTGACTCGCTGAAGATGGTTGTTACTGTTTACTTGCATGACTCATAGCTAAATTTGGATTTATGTACAGGCAGTCCCTGGGTTACGTACAAGATAGGGACTGTAGGTTTGTTCTTAAGTTGAATCTGTATGTAAGTCGGAACTGGCGTCCAGATTCAGCCGCTGCTGAAACTGATCAGTTTCAACA